AAACAACCAGAGAAAACCTCGAATAGCTTAGGGTTTCAGAGAAACCCTAGAAATGAGAAAGGCTTGGAAGAAAGTCCGATCTTGAGTCGGAGAGGTCAGAAATAGGCTCGAAATGTTTTGGATGTGCCGGAGCAAGGCTGGAGAGGCCTCGAGGCCATGAATCTGAGAAGAATTGAAAGGACACCATCGAGGTCAGACCTCGAAACTTCGAACACCCAGGGTTTAAAGGTGGAGGGGGGTGAGTACAGGCTATCCATGGCCTGAGAAGCCATGGATTCCGGTGAGATTGTGGTCGGAGAAGATGAGGGAGGCTAGGGTTTCGTGGAACTTTCGAGAGAGTTTGAGAGAGGGAGAGTATTCAAAGGCGGCTGATAGAGAGAAATGAGGGGATTAGGGTAGGGTTAGGTGAATTAAAAAGGCAAGGGCTAATCGTGGCCGTTGATCAAAATGATCAACGGCCTGGATTAAAAGATTGACCGGGCGGGTTGATTGATTGGGTCGGGTTAAAATTGAAATTGGACCGGTCCAATCGGGGGTTAAGATTGGGTCAATTGGAGGGTCAATTTTGGCTATAATTGAAACAAATTGGGGCTATATATTAAATAGCCAGTTTTTTCCTTTTTATTTTATAAAATAATAAAAATAATTTTGAAAACAAATTAAAAGTACTGGATCAATTAATAATATATAAATATTAATTTAAAAATATTGTAACCAATTTCATAATTATAAAATGCTATTAATCCTCAAAGTAGGCTAAAATTGCAATTATAAGCAATTTGACTTCTTTTTTTAAAATACCAAATAAATTTATAAAAATATATAAAAATTACTATAGCTACATTTTGGTATAAATATGTGAATAAAATAATTTATTCATCAAGATGATAATTTGGGAATAATTATTGGTTTTTTTTATACTGCTAAAATGGATAATAAATTGGTTTAAAAATCTTTAAAAAATGGAAAAAATACTAAAATACTTGGTCATGTTTATATATGCATATATATATATATATATATATATGAAAAATATACAGGGAAAAATGTGGTATCAACAATAAGCAAGTAAATCAAAAAAATACTAAAAACTAGACTTAGAAACCTCAGATGAAATTAGGGTTTTTATTATGCAAACTCAGAGAGGAGAACAATACGAGCAAACATAGCAAAACATGTCAAAAATCAGAGAAAGTCTTGAAATAACTTAACAAGAAAACCCTAATCGGAAAAGATAAAGAGTTTTGGAAGTAGAGTTTTAAAAGAAACTTCGAGAAAAATGCTTAGAAGTTCAAAG